CTTGCTGGATCTCATCCCGGTGCCGCGGCTGTAGGGATCCCAAACCAACGAGATGAGCTGGGATCAGCGTGGGGCTTTGGGCTGAGGACCTGCACAGCTGCTGCAGGATGGGGGCTCCGGCTTTGCGCTTGGTTTTGTGCTGAGCTTGAGCAGGAGGGGGACGTGGAAGGGACAAGGTGACACAAAGCCTGGGCTCAGTCTCCGCTGGGATCCCCTTGCCGCCGTCAGCGTTGCCTTTCTGTTGAGGGTTGGCTCCGTGGCTCCCCAGTTGTCCCAGCAGCTTGCCTTCCCGTACTGGGAGGTGCTGGGGCAGCACATCCAGACCAGATGTCTCATAAACCCCAACGAATTCGATCACCGACGCAGAGAAAAAACTGCCCAGGCATCTTCCCCCAGCACAAGGTTTCTAAGAGCGGGGGCTCTCCGTGCCCCCCATAAACCGTCCCTTGCAGCCGATGGAGGACAAAGAGCAGGGGAACGGGGACAGTGTGACCCAGGCACTGACCCCGAGCAAACCCATCCCACCAGCATCCTCTGCGGGGTCGCTCTCCCTCCTTAATCAACAGCTCCTACGCCCTTGTTTCCATGCCAGGGTGGTTTTTCCCCTTTACTCAGCACTAGCTGGCTTTCCGGGACGGGATGCTGCTGGAGGATGGGGGAACGCACGTGCTTTTTGGGGGGCCTGGAGCTACAGCAGCGCTTTGTGCTCTGCTCTCCACGCCTCCCGTGCTGCTCCGATGGATCCCAGCGACAGCAAACATAAAAATAGATGCCAGGGTGCTTTCTGCCTTTCCTCCCAAACCTGCCTTCTGGCAGCCGTGCTGCGTGGCTCGCCCTTCTCCTTGGCAGAGGCGGGCGGGAGGGGAGAGGAGCTTTTGCACAGGGAAGGGTTTGGCTGGAACGGTCTGGAGGCAGTTGGGGTGTGCTGATTAAACCCGCTGACCCACACGAGCGTGCACAGCACCGTTGCTGAGGCAGGATGGGAGTTTACAAACCCTGGAGCACGTCTCGCGTCCCAGAAACCCCCCGAGAGCTCCACGTGGCCTCCGGCTGCTTCCCCTTTCCGAGGCTCTGCGGGGAGTTCTCTGTTTGAGGTTTCCTCTCCCGTTCCCTGGGTGCTGGGGTGGCTTTGCTGCTTCCTTCCCCCTGCAGAGATCCCCGCCCCGGCTGCAGCACCCGTGGCCGGCAGATCCCGGGGTGATTTTCGGGAGCAGCCCTTTGCCTTCTGGGGGGATGCGCACCCAGCGTGTGCAATGCTGTGAGCATGGATGCAGTGCTGGACCCGCTGGATGTAAGAAGGAACAATAGAGGGGTTTTTAGCAAAACCTATTTGTCTGAACCTGCAGCTTGTGTTTCAGGCTGTCTTGAGGTGCATTTTCTGGATGTGTCGCATTGGAGCAAGCCCGGCTCTCCGTATGGCCGGGGCTGAGGTGTCGCGGCAGAAGCATCGCCGCGCAGCGGAGCCGCTGGGTGGAAAGGGGCAGTTCTCCATGGAGCAGAAGGGCGGTGGTACGGGACCAGCAGGCTGGGAAGCTGCAGGGTCCATCCTCTCCGCTCTGTGTTCAGTGGGGAGACCTGCTTCCAGGTGCAGGGAGCAGGGGAAGGAGCACAGACTTGGGCACCGAGTCCGCACCAGCTCTGCCAGCAGGACAGGACAGCCTGTCTAATTTAGTGATTTTAATGATTTAATGTCTTGGGCTGTGACCTCTGCAAGAGCAGCACCCTGGGGGCAGGTGGCCAGAGATGGGTGGCTTGTCCTGGATGTCCTGTGCAGCGAGGAGCTGGACCCAAGGTGGTGGCACCATCCTCCAGAACACCTCCGAGGAGCGGATCCTTGCGGTGCTGGGTCCCCGGTGCTGGACGTGCTTGGCACGGCTTCCTTCGTCTCCCCGCCCTTGGTGCCAGCATCCCTTCCCCAGTCGGGTTAATACACCCCAGTTAAATCCAGAGCGACTGGGCTGAGCCTGAGCTGTGAAGCCCACGGCCGCGGTTTCAGACCTGGAAGAGGGTTTGTTCGGGCAGAAGCTGGTTTGTTTTTCCAGGTGTAACGTCTAGTCCCGTTGAAGAGATCATGTCCTTCTCCAAAACTTGGGATCGGGTGGTCCCAGTCCTGAAACCCCCCACCCAGGGCTTCCCCCCACAGGGCAGCTGATGTGGGAATAGCAAAAAGATGCTGTGGGAGTTTGGGTTTGTCTGGGCTGGGACGTGAAACCCGCCCTGATCCCGCATCCCGGCTGAGATGGTGTTTGCACCTCCTGTTTCCACTGGAAGTGATTCATACAAAAAAGAGAAAAACCCAACATGGAACAACTTCATCCTCCCAAACACTCATCTTGTGCCATAAACGTATTGCTCAGCCTAAAAGTAGCTTTGTTCCCTGCTTGGGGTGTAGTCCCGACTGCCTGCCGGCTGCTGATGAGGTCTTGGGAACCAGAAATAGCTCCTTAATCCAGCGCCAGCACGAGGAGAGGCTTTTCCTCCAACGGACGCCTTTTGGAGCAGATCCGGTTCTAAGGCTTGTTCGTT